AAACCACTAATTACCTCTTCTTCTTTTTTTAGATATCCCACCAGGACGTTGGCGATCATGACTCTCCACAATTTCCTGTCCTTTGTCACTCTTAACGGAGGCACGGTGGAATAAAGAATAGCATCTCGGATTGAGGAATCGGAGAGGCGAGTTCGAATTCTAGTCGGATCCATTACATTCAAATACATGCTAATATACTTGGGAAAGGTATTCTTCTCCCACACAAAGCTATGGGCAAATAGCAGGACAGACTGTGTTCTATAGCCTTGGATGGCAACCAGTCTAGGAGAAAGTAACTCTGAATTCAAAACTGCATGTAACCCTGGCGTAGGACATACTATACAGCTAAAGAAAGGATCGTTCGCATCGGCTCCCGATCATTCCCACTACGGTCGATCTGGAAGAAGGAACTCTTAATAAATTCTAACTTTTTCTTATATACGCTATTCTGTCATCCATTTACGTATTTCTCTGTGCTTCTTGCCTTCAATTTGTCTTGTGAGCATCAATTTTTCCTGATATTAGGTAACAGTTTAGTTTTCTGGTGCTTCAAATCTCTTCTTCGTTATTGAGGAGATTGTCCAACACTCACTACCATATAGGAGGGCTGATATTTGTAACAGTTCAGCACTTTTTTCTTTGTTTCTAATGAATCTTTCCAGTTTCTTAATACTTTACTTAGCTTTTGGAAGGCATCTTTGGCTATCCAAATGCCCGTTCGGATTTCAATGTTGCACATTCCGTCCTCTGTTAAAATACTTCCTAGATAATTAAATTGTTGTACGTTTTTGATTTTCGCATCATTAATTTTTAATTTGCATGTTGCACTGTTTCTTTTGCTGACAACCATGTTAAGAGCGGGAGAAAATAAAGATAATAATAATAATAATAGGTCTAAAAGAAATGTAAACGCCAAAATAATAATAATAATAATAATAATAATAATGATCTCCGGTTACGGAGATAGGACCTGTTAAAATTCTATGGAACTACATAATACACACTGACACAACAATCAAAGCCAACCGCCAAGATAGTGTTATTAAAGACCACAAACAAAAAAAGTGCCTCCTTATTGATATGGCAGTCCCTGCTGACTGCTATGTATCTTTGAAGATATTCAAAAGCTGTCAAAATACAAGGACCTTGGAAAAAGAATTCCAAAAATGTGGCATATGGGGAACATCAACAATCCCTGTTGTAGTTGGATCCCTAGGACTGGTTGGAAAAAGATTGCAGTAGACTAATTGAAGGATTCCTGGAAGTCCATGCCTCAAAGAGATACAAAAATTGTTCTGACAAGTACAGCCCACACTTTACGAAGGGCTTTATCTATGTAATACTTTTTTTTTTTTTTTTTTGTCAGTGGAAAGTGTCATGATGCCATTTCTAACCTTAGGTCTCTGGGCGGGACCCGGAAAGAAATGTGTAAACGCCAGAAATCAAAGAAAATAATAATAATAATAATAATAATAATAATGATCTCCGGTTACGGAGATACGACCTGTTACAATTCTATGGGACTTCACAATACACACTGACAGAACAATCAAAGCCAACCGCCAAGATAGTGTTATTGAAGACCACAAAAAAAGTGCCTCCTTATTGATATGGAAGTCCCTGCTGACTGCAATGTATCTTTGAAGATATTCAAAAAGCTGTCAAAATACAAGGACCTTCAAATAGAAATCTCGAAAATGTGGCATATGGGAACATCAAAAATTCCTGTTGTAGTTGAATCCCTAGGACTGGTTGGAAAAGATTGCAGTAGACTAATTGAAGGGATACCTGGAAGTCCATGCCTCAAAGAGATACAAAAAATTGTTCTGACAAGTACAGCCCACACTTTACGAAGGACTTTATTTTGTCAGTGGAAAGTGTCATGATGCCATTTCTAACCTTGCCATTTCTGGGCGAGACCCGGAAAGAAAATAATAATAATAATAATAATGATAATAATAATAATAATAAATACAATAAATGACAACAATAATGAAAATGATGGTTATTACTATTCTTATGACACATTCTCTTCGGGATTCAGGCGAGCATGGCTCTTCACAGCTTCCTTTTATTTATTGTCTGTGAGTTGCTATTACATTTGGGAAGGATAGTGCCGTGTTTTCCCGTTTCCTTCTCCACATATTTGAATTCATATTCGCCTTCTCCTAGACTGGCTGTCTACGAAGGCTTGAAATTTCAGCTTATTCCGTTATTTAATCTTTAGTTATTAAGGATCGGGGCATGACTTTCAAAACGACGTTTTGTCTGGAACTGAACGCAATAGAATAGGCTGGTATTTGAAACCCGTTCGCTGATTCCACATTCCGCGCCGATAACCGTTACTCTACCCGCACATCAAATAATTGCTTTACAACGATAATAATGAATATTAATTACTTCTGGTATTTAAGTGGTTAGTTTTATTTTACAGGATAGTGATAATAAACTGGATCCTCAGTAACTGGTTGGTAATGCTAATAGTAATAACAGCCGTTTCCTTATAAGGAAACATTTGGCATTCATTGACCGAACAGCCGGTATTACTTTTGGTTGAAATTTAAAAATCTTTCTCTTAAAACAATTTTTCAGGAAAATAAGTTTCTCAAGTCCAGGGTTTCTTAGCGTTCTTTCCAGTATTGATCGGAGTTTCCTTCCTAACCTTTTGTTTGAAGTAATGTGGAAGATCAACATATTGAATCTTGATTAATGTCATTTTTTTCTCTTTAAGTTACATGTGATATCCATTTTAGTTGTTGCTGTTGTTGATTGTCCTGAAGTAAAGTTGTTTTTGTTATTTTAAACTGTTCTTTGTGATTGTGTAGTGCCAATTCACAAGGTTCAGAGGAGGAGGAGGATCTTTGCCAAGACCGGCAGGCTTCACACACTGGAAGTCATTTTTAACCATTGATCATAAAAAAGCGGTTGCATACAGTTGAAAATTTAGATATTTTCAGCTACCTTATCATTATTATTATTTTTATTATTATTATAGTTAATGTAATAGTAGTAGTAACGGTAGTAGTAGCATTAGTAGTAGTAATGCTGTACATATGTAATGGCTATCGACACGGAAAGTGAGATGAGTTCAAATTCAGGCCTCGTCTGTTAAGTTCGCTAATTCATATTACTAACCAAGAGAAAGGCATAAATCCATCTCTTCCCTTTGCTCTTTATGCATCAAATAGTAACTTAAATTGGACTCTACAGCCTTGGGAGAAAGCCAGACTACACGGAGATAAACTTTTAATTCCAAATTGTGGTGAAAGCCGCTGGAAACTACTTCACTATCATTCCCAAAAGGTATTGGCAATTTGCAGATTTTAAAAGTTAAAATAATCTGTGGAGAGCCATGATCGCCCTCGTCCTGAAGTCACATGGCATTGTAATATTAAAGATAGTAGTAGACATAGTAGCCTATGCAATTACTATGATGATGGATACAAATATTGGTTGGTTTGTTACATGACGACCACAGTTTTTCATGACATTTCAAGACTATTGTCCTATCCATTTCCTCTGAAAATAAAGATAAAGA